ACTATATTCTTTTGACATGCAGGGAAAAAAAGGTCTTTATGTAACTGCTGTGTTAGGAAAAGCTTGTGAAAGAGTTCACAGAGTAAGAATTTTAAAGCCTAAAGAAAACTGAAGGTTTGCTTGGCATGTGGCTTCTTTATCTTTAACAAAAGTACATCTTTGTCTTTATATCTTCATCTCTGTATTTTTCAGGTTAGTCAGACTCAGAGGTATCTAGTGTATTTAATTTGGTAACTTTTTTTTTTTTTTTTTTTGAGATGGAGTCTTTGCTCTGTCACCCAGGCTGGGGTGCAGTGGTGCGAACTCGGCTCACTACAAGCTCCGCCTCCTGGGTTTACGCCATTCTCCAACCTCAGCCTCCCGAGTAGCTGGGACTACAGGCGCCCGCCACCTCGCCCGGCTAGTTTTTTTTTGTACTTTTAGTAGAGACGGGGTTTCACCGTGTTAGCCAGGATGGTCTCGATCTCCTGACCTTGTGATCCGCCCGTCTCGGCCTCCCAAAGTGCTGGGATTACAGGCGTGAGCCACCGCGCCCGGCCCAATTTGGTAACTTTTAAGGCTTTCCACTAATAACCTGCTTTCCCCTACCTCCCCAAAAAAGCCACCAAAAAAAGTGATTCTTAATTCCTGACCTGTGCGGTACCAGTGCTGTATGATTTGGCTTTAGGGAAAATGAGTGGTAGAGGTTTGTTTCCAAAACCTAGCTTTTATTGTAGAAAACAGTGGAACATTTTTCACAGCAGACTGGGAGTCCACTAGGTGGAGAAGTTTTACAATTTATTTCAACGCTTACTGTGACTCTGAGGAAATCCTTTTGTTTCCCTGGTTCGTGCAGAATTCCAGCACAGGAGATCTGCTCCTAAAGAATGCTACATCTTTTTGATGTTCAGAAAGAAATAAAAGTACAGTAGTGTAGCTTGTGTGGAAGCAGTTGTGGTTCAATGAGAGTGGGAAGAGTAACTATATTTTATAGAACAGGCAGAGGGGAAAAGCCAATAAATGGGTCGTAATTTGAGCATAGGAAAAAAAATTGGAGAGAATAATGTGACCAGAATGATCTGTGCTAAGATAATGGTTAGCACGGTTTGCCCATGTGTTGGCTCTGTAGTGCTTAAAGATTGTCACTGGAGGCATAAGGTATAGGCAATGGGGAAGGTGAAGAAGAGGTAAAAAATGAAAGAGAAGAGAGGAAGGAAAAAAGCATAATTTCAGGGCCATTTCCTCTTAGTGAACTGGGGAAAGATAGAAGTATAGGGAGAAAATGATTTTAGTAGATAAAAATATAGAGAAACCAACTGTGAAAATTCCCCTTGTCATGGTCTTTATAACTTCATGTTATCCATTCTCTAACAGGAGGTATTGGACTAAGCTTTACATGTATGTAACTGCAATGTAAGACATAATTTATGTTTTTTTAATAGTCTTTGGATTTGTTATTTCTTGTACTTTAGGAACCTGAACTCCTTCATCAGAGCTCCTTTGTTTCCTTATTCATTTATCTCAGCTTCATGTTGGTGGAGTGTGGCTTCCTACTGTTGTTTATGTGTGTAACTAGGTCTTGTGTGTCTGATTTTTCTCTTTTGGGATAATTTGCTTTCTAGCAACCTTTTTTCCCCTAGTTTTAAATATCTGTATTCTGTGTAAATAAGAATGTAATAAATTTTGGAAGAGTGTATTTAATTTGGTAACTTTTAAGGCTTTCCACTAATAACCTGCTTTCCCCTACCTCCCCAAAAAGGCCACCAAAAAAAGCGATTCTTTCTTAATTCCTGACCTATGCAGTACTAATGCTGTATGATTTGGCTTTAGGGAAAATGATTGCAGCACCAAGAAAAATAAAATCTTACAACTTTTTAAAACTCTAATCTTACTTTTAGGAACATGATACTTAATTTTAGGAATACAAGTTTTCTTACCTTTAGGAACATGATACTGCAGTCTGCCAGAAAGAGAAAATTTGCTATTTTAGAAGGCTTCCATCAAAGGAGTTTCTACACATCACATCTTTGATGTTTCATTTAGGGAATTCTTTCTTATGTCTTACCTAAAATCCACTTGCTATAACACGTTTAAATTCTTTACTATTGAAAAGCAGTTACCTAGCATCTGCTCTCTGGTACATGGTACACTGTAGTGCCTAATTTTATCATGTAACATATAGCCCAGCATGGTAAGAGTCTGCAATACTCTGCAAAAATGTTGAAGAAACTTAAGTAATAAGAAGTAAATTTAAAAGTTGTGGAGGGTGTTGAGTAGCTGTGAGTTATGTGTCTCGCCACTGTGAGGCCTGTGAAAGTCATCACTGTTTTTCTCATTTCTTCTTCTGCATATTCTCTTCAGTTTGAGAACAACTGGACCATCCTCTCTGTAAAACTGTTTTTATTGTCACTTCTCATCTTCTTTTAAAGGCTGCAAATATTCCTTTCATCTTTCTTTGGAGGTTTTATTTTTCATCCTATTAATCATCCTTGAGTCTCTTCTGAATCCCTTCCAAGTCTTTTTTTTTTTTTTCCCTCGGCGTTCCTTTAGTTTGGAAGTACAGAACTGGAAACAGTACCCTGAGAGTATCTGACTGCTTTTGAGTGTCCTGGAGGAAGACTTCACACTCGTACAAGTGCCAGAGTCTACTTCATATAACCTTAGATTATGTTTGCTTTCTAAAAATGTAGTCATATATTGCTGACTGACTGTCAGATTTTTATTTCCTATGACCTTGATCGTTTCCTTTTATGTTTATTTATAGTTTGTACATTCATCATCTTTTTTTATTGAGTCTATTTTTCTTGACTGGATATATATTGCTTCACACTGTCCTCGCTGAAATTCATTGCATTTTTTTCTGATTACTAAACTACTTACCCAATGTCATTTCCATTCCTGTCTTTCAGTATGCCCCACCCATAGGCTTTATATATTGTCTGTGCTATTCAAGTCAGTAATGAAATTATTAAAAATAGGAAGAAGGTAGAGAAGTGTCCTAGAAGCAGTGGCAGAAAACATTTGTTGATGTTTCTCAAAACTTACTCTGATCAGCAGCCAGATTGAGTAGTAGAGAGCTGTTCCCCTCCTTCTGTGTTTTTGATACTCCTGGAATCTATTGCCCTCACCCTGAAAGTTTGGTGTCTGCATCTCCACACAGCTGTGTAGAGAAACAAAGCAATTAATCTTGCACACTTCTGTCAGATTTCATCTTAATCACTGCCTTGTATATATCTCTCCCTGTTCATAACTTTCTGTGGCTCTCCATCAGCTGCTGAATTAAATATAAACTTTCTAGTTTTGTATTCAAGGCATATTTTGGCCTGAGTCTTCCTTTCCAGTCTGATTGCCTGTAACTGTGTTTCCTACCGTATTAATTACTTGTCATTCTCCAGATATCTCTTTCACTTTTTCTTTTTTTTTGAGACAGAATCTTGCTGTGTCACCCAGGCTGGAGTGTAGTAGCGTGATCTCAGCTCACTGCAACCTCCGCCTCCTGGGTTCAAGCAATTCTCTTGTCTCAGCCTCCTGAGTAGCTGGGATTGTAGGCATCTGCCACCATGCCCAACTAATTTTTTGTATTTTTAGTAGGGATGGGGTTTCACCATGTTGGCAAGGCTGGTCTCGAACTCCTGACCTCAAGTGACCCACCTACCTCGGCCTCCCAAAGTGCTGGGATTACAGGCATGAGCCACCACGCCCAGCCTCTTTCACTTTCTGAAGTCTTGGTTTGTTTGCATTGTTTGGCCTGTTTAGCACACTCTCATTTCTGTAACCATTTAAGACCAATTTCATTTCTTTTCTTTATGGATTTTTCCAATTAGATATAGTCTTTCCGTTCCACACCATCCCCTGCACAAATCTTTATACCCTTTGGGGTACTTTTGTCTTATGTTATCGCTATTTGTGTGTTTTTCTTATCCTCCTGGTAGACTATTTATTTATTTATTTATTTATTTATTTATTTATTTAATGGGAGGGAGTCTTGCTCTGTCACCCAGGCTGGAGTGCAGTGGCACAATCTCTGCTCACTGCAACCTTCACCTCCTGGGTTCAAGCGATTCTCCTGCCTCAGCCTCGCGAGTAGCTGGGATTACAGGCGCCCGTCACCACACCTGGCTAATTTTTGTATTTTAGTAGAGATGGTGTTTCACTATGTAGGTCAAGCTGGTCTCAAACTCCTGACCTCAAATGATCCACCCACCTCAGCCTCCCAAAATGCTGGGATTACAGGCGTGAGCCACCGTGCCTGGCCTGTATATTTTTTGAGAACTGTCTCCTCCTCATCTTGGTAATTTCGATATACCTAGCATGTGTTTGCATAAGAAATTGAATAGACTTGGCCAGGCATGGTGGCTCATGCCTGTAATCCCAGCATTTGGGGAAGCTGAGGTGGGTGGATCACCTGAGGTCAGGAGTTCAAGACCAGCCTGGCCAACGTGATGTGACCCTGTCTTTACAAAAAAAATACAAAAATTAGCTGGGCGTGATGGCAGGTGACTGTAATCCCAGCTTCTTGGGAGGCCGAGGCAGGAGAATTGCTTGAACCCGGGAGGCTGAGGTTGCAGTGAGCTGAGATTGTGCCATTGCACTCCAACCTGGGTGACAGAGCGAGATTCCGACTCAAAAATAAATAAATAAATAAGAAAGAAATAAAAGGTAGTTACTAGAATAAATTGAATAGACTTAAAATTTTTTAAAAGCAGTATTTATAGGTACATGCCATATAAATGAATTAGATCAGTTTGAGCACATTGTATGATATATTTGATTTAAATTCCAGTGTACCCTTCTTATCTAGTTGCAGACTGCTAGCAAAGTTTGTGGATCAGCAGCTGGTCCAGACTTTGAGTAACATTGTCATAAGTACTTTTTTCCCTCTTAAAAAACTATAGAAGCAGTTAAAGGTTTATAATTTGCTGTGTTAGTTGTTAAACAAAATTGCTAAATTCAGCAATTGCTTGATTGCTTAAAGTTGTACTGTAAAAGCCGTATTATAATGAACTTTTATTATTTTCTAGAAACTATCCAACTCTGGCCAATATTGAAAGAAAGAAGAAGTTAAAACTTGAAAAGGAAAAGAGAGGAGCAGTATTGACAACAACACAGTATGGGTAAGTTCCTCATGCTTATGAATAATGAAAAGGAGCACAAATCAAAATCTTAAAATCCTTATGTACTCAGTTCTGAAATCTTTGCTTTTATAACTTATTTACTTAAAAAAGATCAATTTATCTTTTTTTTTAACACCAGCCTGATAATACAAATAGTTATATCTTAAAATAAGGATTACCCTATATTCATATGGTTTTCAAAGGATAATTAATAAGACCTTTCAATCTTTGTCTCCCAGCTAATTAGTTTCCTCCCAGAGGCGATCCATTTTATCCTTCCAGAGATACCTGATGTCTATACAGCAGGTAGATGATAGATACAGTCTTTCCCCTCCTTTTTTTGATACTATATTTGCTTTGTTAGCCATGCAGTATACTTAGAGATTGTCCCACATTAATGTGTAACAAACCTCATTATTTAAGGATGTGGCTGGGCACAGTGGCTCACACCTGCAGTTCCAGAACTTTGGAAGGCTAAGGAGGGAGGATCACTTAATCCCAGGAGTTCAAGACCAGCCTGGGTAACATAGCAAGACCTCGTCTCTACAAAAATAAAAACAGAAAAATTAGCCGGGCATAGTGGCATGTGCCTGTAGTTCCAGCTAGTTGGGAGGCTGAGGCAGGAGGATCGCTTGAGCCCAGAGGTTGGAGATGGGTGCTGCTGCACTGCAGCCTGAATCACAGATCAAGACCCTGTCTCTTTTAAAAACAAAACAAAACAAAAACAAAAACAGGATGTGTAGGAAGCTTAAGGATGTCCCACAGTGTCGTTTTTTTTTTTAAATTAGCTTCTTGTTGATGGACATTTCAGTTCTTACCAACCTTTTGCCAATAAAAAATGTTTTCATATTGCCCTTATACATAACAATATTTTACATATGAGTAAGTATTTCTGAAGATAGATTACTAGAAATTGATTTGCTGAGTCAAAGAGTTATGTGCATCTGTAATATTCACATGTACTACCGAATATCATGGAGCTGGACCAGTTTACTCTCCCACCAGCAATGTATGAGCTATCTGCCCCCCGCAACTCCCTCACTTTCATAGATGTTTTAAGAATTTTTTCCATTTCATTTTTTATTGAAGTACATTATAATATATGAAAAATATAGAAATCTTAAATGCGCTTGAGGAATTTTTATACACATATACACATACACCCCTCCCATCCCATACATCCATGTAACCTCCACACAGGTGAATGTACATAACTTCTTCACCTCATGAAGCTCTCTTAAGCCCTCCGCTGTTCAATGCTTCACCACAAAGGTAACCCCTTTTCTGATTTCTGTCATCATAGATTATATTACCTGTTCTGGGAACTGTAGATAAATGGAATTTATATAGTATGTATTCTTGGGTGTATGAGTTCTATGGCCCAAAATTATTTTGTGAGATTTATCCATGTTGTGTATAGTTGTAAAATGTTTTGTTTTTATTGCTGTATAGAACTTAATTGTGAGAATATATATGTATTCTACTGTTAATGGACATTTGGGTTATATGGGCTAATATAAATAAAGCTACTGTGAACATTCTTTTACCTGTCTTGTTTACATAGGGCTCATTTTCATTGGTCATATAAATATGCTAGGTCATAGGGTATCCACATGTTTAGCTTTAATAGATATGGCCAGTTTTCCGAAGTGGTCGAACTAGTTTAACACTTCTACTAAATGCATCTTATTGCTCTGTGTCCTGGTCAGTGCTTGGTAAGTTACACCTTTTCCTCTTGTCGTAACATTTTCCTCCTGTCTTATGGTGTTAATCCCTTTTCATATGCTTATTGACTATTTGAATATTCTCTTGGGTAGTACCAGTTCAAGCCTTTGACCAGTTTTTAATTGGGGTTGCTTTTCTGATTTGTAAGAGTCATTTACTTGGATACAAATCTTACTTTGGAGTATATGTATTGCAGATATATCTCACAATATGTGGCTTGTCTTTTTATTGTCTTAATGGATATCCTTTTTCCTTTTTTTATACAACAATAACTGTTCATTGCTCAGATATTTGGGATCAGCTAGGAGTCAGGCATATGTGTTGATCTTGACAAGGCTCCATTAAAGCTGGGGATTGGTCAGTGATAGTTAGGATAGCTATGTAGTTACTATTTTTAGGGCTCTTCCTTCTTTTGTGTAGATCCATCTTTCCATTTGATGTCATTTTTCCTCTGTCTGAAGGACTTCCTTTAATATTTCTTGCAGTGAGAATTTGCTGGGAATTACTTTTTTCAGCTTTGTGTGTCTGAAAAAGTATTTTGCCTTTTTGAAAGATACTTCTGCAGGATATGTAATCAGTTAACAGTTTTTCAAATGTGTAGTACTCTAAAGATGTGATTCCATTGTCCTCTCATTATCATTGTTTTCAATGAGAAATCTGTTGTCATTATTATCTTTTTTATCTGTATAAATTTATCTCTGGCTTCTTTTAAGATTTTTCTGTTTATCACCAGTTTTGAGCAATTTATGATGTGTCTCAGTATAGTTTTCTTTATGTTTCTTGTGCTTGGCATTTGTTGAACTTCTTGGATTATAATTTTTATCAGATTTGGGAAAATGTTGGCCATTATTTCTGCAAATGTTTTTTCTCTACCTTCCTCTCCCTTTCAGACTCCAGTTACATGTATAATAGGCTGTTTAAAGTTGTTCTATTGCTTACTGATGCTCTTTTCATTTTTAATTTTTTATTTTTTATTTTTTTTTTTTTTTTGAGACGAGTCTCGCTGTGTCTCCCAGGCTGGGTGCAGTGGCGTGATCTCGGCTCACTGCAAGCTCCGCCTCCCGGTTCACGCCATTCTCCCGCCTCAGCCTCCCAAGTAGCTGAGACTACAGGCGCCCACCACCGCCGGCTAGTTTTTGTATTTTATAGAACGGGTTTCACCATGTTAGCCAGGATAGTCTCGATCTCCTGACCTCGTGATCCACCCGCCTCGGCCTCCCAAAGTGCTGGGATTACAGGCTTGAGCCACCGCGCCCGGCCTCATTTTTTAAAACTTTTTTTCCTCTGTGTCTCATTTTAGATCATTTCTATTGCTATGCCTTCATGTTCATTAATCTTTCTTATGCAGTGTCTAATCTTTCATTAGTCTTATGTATATGTATATTTTGTCTCAATGTAATTTTGCATGTTTTATCTCAGACATTGTAGTTTTTATTCTTAGACGTTTGATTTGGGCTGGGCATGGTAGCTCATGCCTGTAATCCTAGTGCTTTGGGGGGGCCAACGTGGGAGGAGTGCTTGAGCCCAGGAGTTCAAGACCAGCCTGGGCAACATAGCAAGACTTTCTCTATACAAAAAAATTTAAAAGTTAGCTGAACATGGTGGTACACACCTGTAGTCCCAGCTTCTCGAGGGGCTGAGGCAGGAGGTCACTTGAGCCCAGGAGTTCAAGGCTACCGTGGTCTGTGATTGTGCTACTGCCCTCCAGCCTGATTGACAGAACGAGTCTCTGTCTTGTTAAAAAAAAAAAAAAAAAAAAAAAAAAGGTTGGTTTGGTTCTTTTATTTCTCTGCTTAACTTTTTAAACATAAAGTACAGTTATAGTAACTTTTAATTTCTTCCTGCTAATTTTAGTATTTGTGTTGGTTCTGGATCACCTTTTAATTGATATTTCTCTTTATTTTGTGTTATATTTTCCTGCTTTGTTGCAAGCGTGGTAATTTTTTTTCTTTTTTTGAGATGGAGTCTCGCTCTGTCCCCAGGCTGGAGTGCAGTGGCGTGATCTTGGCTCACTGCAACCTCTGACTCCTGGGTTCAAGCGATTCTCCTGCCTCAGCCTCCCGAGTAGCTGGGACTACAGGCATGCGCCATCACGCCCAGCTAATTTTTGTATTTTAGCGAAAACAGGGTTTCACCATGTTGGCCAGGATGGTCTCAATCTCTTGACCTCGTGATCTGCCCACCTTTCCACCCAAAGTGCTGGGATTACAGGTGTGAGCCACTGCTCCTGGCCCCATGCCTGGTAATTTTTTATTGGATACTTGACACTGGAAATTTTACATTATTGGATGCTGTATTAGTCCATTTTCACCCTGCTGATAAAGAATACCCGAGACTGGGCAATTTACAAAAGAAAGAGGTTTAACTGGACCTACAGTTCCACGTGGCTGGGGAAGCCTCACAATTGTGGAGGAAGGCAAAGAGGGGCAAGTCACATTTTCTGTGAATGGCATTAGGCAGAGAGAGGAGAGCTTGTGCAGGGAAACTCCGCTTTTTAAAACCATCAGACCTCACGAGACTCATTCACTCACTATCACAAGAACAGCACAGGAAAGACCCACCCCCATATTTCAATCACCTCCCACCGGGTTCCTCCCATGACATGTGGGATTGTGGGAGTTACAATTCAAGATGAGATTTGGGTGGGGACACAACCAAACCACATTAGGTGCTGTATATTTTTGTGTTTCTATAAATGTTCTTGAACTTTTTTCTGAGAACACAACCGAGTTACTTAGAAACAGTTTGATCCTTCTGGGTCTTGCTTTTAAGATTTGGTAGACGAAACCAGAGCAGTGTTTAGTCTGAACCTAACTACTCACTACTGATGTAAGATCTTACTGGGTATCTTACCCCATGCCCTATGAAATATGAGGTACAAACAGGACCTAGTTATGACTCCGAGTGAAGATAAGGTGCTGATAACTCTGATCCTTTTGGATGGTTTTTTTTTTCCCAACTTTGGGTAGTTTCCTGACAAATACATGCCGATCATTCTTCTGCTAAATAGTCCAGGGTAAATCCTCTGCAAATCTCTAGAGTTCTCTCTCTCTCTGTAGTTTTTTCCTCTCAGGTACATCCTGCAAGCTCTAGATGTCTTGCTCTCTCTGGTGTCTCAACTCTAGTTCCTCACCTCAGGGATTCTACCACGTCCCATCTGGATTCCTCTTTTCTACAGTCTGGAAACTCTTAAGGCTGTAAGCAAGGGCAGTTGCAGGGTTTACTGTTCATTTATTTTCCGTCTTTCAGGGATCACTGCTCTTATTGCTTGATGTCCTATGTCATAGAGACTGTTGTTTCTTCATTTTGGCTAATTTTTTGGTTATTTCAGGTAGGAGGATAAATTCAGTTCCTGTTACTTTATTTTGGCCAGAAACAGAAGTTCTTAATGGTGTCTTTTATAAATAAAAGTTGCAATTTTCATGAAGTCTGATTTATTAATCTTTTATTTTTATGGTCAGTGCTGTGTGTATTCTGCCTTAAAAAATATTTGCTTACTTGGAGATCATAAAGCTATTTCTTTGTTTTCTTTTAGAAGATTTATTGCTTTGCCATTGTGGTATATGTCTAGAATTAATTATTGTACATAGTGTAGGGGTTAAGGACCTTTAAAATTTTTTCACATATGAATTACAGTTGATCCAGTACTAATTGTTATACCATGCAGACCCCAACCAAAAGTAACCTGGTACAACAATATTAATATCAGACCAAATAGATGTTAAAGCAAGATGTGTTATTAGGGATAAATGGGAATATTTTGTAATGTTAAAAGAGTCAGTGCAACAACAAGAAGACATACCAATTCTAAATCTGTATGTGTCTAGTAATATAGCTTTAAAATATGTAAAGTGAAAATTTTGAAACAAACACAACTCTTGAGCAGAGACACAAAAATCCTATACAAAATGTTAGCAAATTAAATCTGGCAGTATGTAAAAAGGATAAACATCATGACTAAATGGGACTTATTCCAGGAGCATGTTTATTTATCACATTAACACAGTGAAGGAGGAAAATGCTATTAACTTAATGAGTAGGGAAAACAGTTTGATAAAATGTACCACCTGTTCATAAAAAAAGACATATCAGCAAACTAGTAATAGAAAATAATTTCTTTAATCTAATAAAGGATATCTATCAATACTCTATAGCCATATCATACTTAATGGTGCAGTAGTGATCACTCCTCCACCTCCCCTGAGATTAGAAGCAAGATAAGGATGTCCAGTGTTACCACTTTTATAAATGAATTTAGCAAAGTTGCCAAATACTTGTAAAAACAATATTTTAAAAATCAACTCTATTTCTATAAAGTAGCAACAAACAATTAAAAAGTGAAAATTTAAAAGATACCATTTAGAATAGTATCAAATGCCTAGGAATAAACCTAACAAAAGATCTGCAAGACTCTACACTCAAAACTACAAAACATTGCTCAGAAAAATTCAAGGCCTGCATAAATGGAGCAATATATAATATACACGGACTGGAAAACAATATAATTATCTTAATTCTCCCCCAAATCCAATTGATTACAGTCAGAATTCCAGCAAGTTTATTTATTTATTTATTTATTTATTTATTTATTTATTTATGTGGAGGAGGGATGGGGGAGATTGATAAGCTTTAAAATTACAGTGTGTCACTTCATGACAGGGATACATTCTGAGAAGCGGGTTAGGCAATTTTGTTGTTATGAACATCATAGAGTATACTTACACAAACTTAGATAATACAGCCTACTACATACCTAGGCTGTGCAGTAAAGCCTATTGCTCTTAGGCTACATCCCCATACCCTGTCTTACTGTATCCAGTTGTAACACAATGCTAAGTATTTGTGTATCTAAATATAGAAGAGTTTCAGTAAAAATACACCATTAAAGGTAAAAAATGATATACCTGAATGGGACACTTACCATGAAGAGAACTTGCAGGACTGGAAGTTGCCCTGGGTGAGTCAGTGAGTGAGTGGTGAGTGAATGTGAAGGCCCAGGACATTACTATACACTAAGACATTACAAACATTGTACACATAGGCTACACTAAATTGTTTTGTAAAAGTGATTTTTTACTTTATGATGATATGACATTATTGGGAATTATTTAACTCTGCTATAATCTTATAGGACTGCTGTCATATATGTGGTCCATTGTTGATCAAAATGTCATTATGTGGTACATGATTGCATATGAAAATACAAAGGATCTAGAACAGCAACTAAGAAAGCTAGAGTAATGAAGATAGTGTCGTGTTGTCCAAGGTTAAATAGATAAATAGAGCAGAATAGAGTCCACAAACAGATCCACTGAGAAACAATCACCTAACTTACGATAAATCTGGCAGTATAATGCAGTGCAGAAAGGATCGTGTTTTCAACAACCTATTCCTTTTAAACTTTTTGTGTCTCTTTATTTAAAGTGTATCTCCTATATATTATATAATTTTATCTTCTTAGTGATCCAAACTGAAAATCTTTGCCTTTTAACTAGTGCTTAGTTCATTTACATTTAATGTAATTCCTAATATAGTTGGGTTTTTAATTTGTTCTTTGTTCCTTTTTTGCCTTCTTTTGGATGGAATCTTTTTTTATTCCTTAATCTCTCCATTTTATGTACATCTACATTTTTATTTACATTATACCTTTTATAACTATTTTTAGATGGTTGATTAAATAAACTTTTCCTTTCAAATGATTGTCAAGTGGTATAACAGAACTACTCCCTCGAAGGTGAAATAGAGTGCAAATAACAGATACACTACTTTCTCAGTTAATTCTTATAGATGTCATTAGTGAAGGATCTTTTTAACTCATTACTTATTAGTGAATACCTTAATGATGATCATTCAAGCTAGCTGTGGTCAGACGCTATAAGAGAAAAGATACAGGGAAGGTATCTGTGAATGGGAGCTCAAGGAAAGTGGCATCTCTTCATTATCCTTATGGGGCCAGTGAGCCAGAGGCAGAAACTAGACCTGTTTTCTTTGCACTGACACTGTTAGGTTCTCAGCCTGACATCTGTGGATGGACACTGGAGATTGGTCCATGGCATTTTGCAAAATTTGAACTATACCTATATATTAATTTTTATAATGAGATTCTCCAAGGGTTATTATGACCCTAAAGGGATTAATAATCTCTGGGTTGCAGATTTGCAGATACATAAATTAAACATGTTGGTTTAACAAATTATTTCAAAAATGTTATGATAGTAAACTGTCATTAGGCTTAATGTGTTATCTTGCTCTAACTGTGAAGTACTGTATATTATCTTAATTCTATGTCCCTATGATTCCCATTCTGTTTAAAGGAATAAACAGGCTTAGGCATGCAAATATTTGTGCAGCAGACACAGCCTGTAAGTGACAAAATTGAGATTTAGATGCAGATTTCTAATTAATCTGTTTACTGCATCCTCCATTATTAATGAAAAATGAATTTTGCCCAATAAATGACAAACTGTCAAAAACCTATCTTTGTGAAAACTCAGTTCCACCAAAGAATACCTTGTGTTATTGTCTACTATGAAGGAACCTTTTTTAACCGTCTTTCCCGCCCCTGCACACACACACATAGTTTAAATTAGAAGATGCTCACATAAATACTTGCTTTCTTTTTCTTTTCTTTTTTTCTGGAGACAGTCTTGCTTTGCTCAGGCTGGAGTACAGTGGCACAATCTCGGCTCACTGTGACTTCCACGTCCCAAGTTTAAGCAATTCTCGTGCCTTAGCCTCCCGAGAAGCTGGGACTGCAGGCGCCTGCTACCACGCCCAGCTTATTTTTTATTTTAGTAGAGACAAGGTTGCCCAAGGTAATTTCGAACTTCTGAGCTCAAGTGGTCCGCCCACCTTGGCCTCCCAAAGTGCTGAAATTACAGGCATGAGCCACCGCACCTGGCCAATACTTGCTTTCTTTCCGAAAGTAGTTGTGGCTGTTGAGAGGGCACTTGATTTGAGCTGGCTGTGAAATTGCAATTATGCTTATGTGTTGTGATAGGCCTATAAAGTAGAGAAAATAGTACCTGTCTTACCTATTTCAGAGGGTTCGTGAAGGTCAAACAAGGCATATTTGTAAATGCTTCAGAAACTTTAGCTCCTTAAAAACGAGTAGACAAGGCGGGTGTACTCATGCCTGTAATTCCAGCACCGTGGGAGGCCGAGGTGGGTGGATCACCTGAGGTCAGGAGTTCGAAACCATCCTGGCCAACACAGTGAAACCTTGTCTCTACAAAAATACAAAAATTAGCCAGGCTGATGGTGGGTGCCTGTAATCCCAGCTACTTGGGAGGCTGAGGCAGGAGAATCACTTGAAACTGGGAGGTGGAAGTTGCAGTGAGCCAGGATCATGCCGTTGCACTCCAGCCTGGGCAACAGAGCAAGACTCCATCTCAAAAGAAAATAAAATGAGTAGACAAGAGTGAACATACTTTATAAACTCTAAGAAACACTTTCAGCTGGGCATGGTGGCTCACATCTGTAACCCCAGCACTTTGTGAGGCAGAGGTGGGCAGATCACGAGGTCAGAAGATCGAGACCATCCTGGCCGACATGGTGAAACCTTGTCTCTACTAAAAATACAAAAATTAGCTGGGCGTGGTGGCACGTGCCTATAATCCCAGCTACTTGGGAAGCTAAGGCAGGAAAATCGCTTGAACCTGGGAGGTGGAGGTGACAGTCAGCTGAGATAATGCCACTGCACTCCAGCCTGGTGATAGAGCGAGACACTGTTTCAAAAAAAAAAAACACTTTCGTGTACAATAGAAGAACGAAAGAATGCTGCCAGTTAAATTGGCCTTTAGTGATGATACTATGCAGCCCAATTTCAGAAGGATAACAATATGGGTAGAAATTTGCAGCATAGAATCAATAAGGTGTGGTATATTGTGGTTGCTGTCCTTCTAAAGTTCTATCATAGGCTTCCCTGTATTTGGAAGTCACTGGAATTTCTTTTATTTTGGTCTGTTTAATGTACTAGGCTACAAGTGATCAATTTTACAACTAAGTTTCTTTTGTATTTAGTAGTCTTTTTTTTTCTTGGAAGGTCAGTGCCTTTTATGTTAAAAATTGCAATTTTCTTCCTCCAGAAAGATGAAGGGGATGTCCAGACATTCACAAATGGCAAAGATCAGAAGTCCTGGCAAGAATCACAAATGGAAAAACGACAATGCTAGACAGAGAGCAGTCACTGGATCAGGCAATCACTTGTGTGATTTGAAGCCAGAAAGTCCACCTGAGGCAAATGCAGATCCTCTTGGTGTTTTGATAAATAGTGATTCTGGTAAGCTAAACAGGAAAATAACATTTATAAGTGTATAGACAATGATGCTGAAGTTGATTATTCACAGCCTTGTTTGTGGAAAGTTTAATATCAAATGTGTAACAATGCAGAATGATGCTTTTGTTTTGTTTTTAATAGGAGCATCTTGTTTAAAACGTCATTTCAGAACATCTTTTCTAAGTCTTGGGTGGGTACATGGGGAAGGGAGGCTATAGGAGAAAGACTGTTGTTGCTGGATAATTTTCATTAGTATGATGTAACCTTAGAAATTTCTTAAGATTGTTTTGAATGTATTAATGCTGTACATTCAAGTTTACTCAAATATGTGGATTTTCCCTTTACCTATAAAGCAGCAATTCTAATGGAAGTCAGTATACTTTATGCTACTGAGCATGAGCATGATCTCTGGGCAAAAAGTACTAATTCATTATGTTTGATTAGTACTGTTCTTCTTCAGAGCATAGGTTATATTTATATATATTTGTCCTTGAATTTCCTGTAAAATGTATAAGGCAAGTTACCTTGCTTATTAGTTGAAAAATAAAAGCATTAAAATGCTGCTATCACATACAGATATCATTTAGCCTTTGAGACTCCATTTCTCTTCCTGAAAAATGAAATGTATATGTAAATATTTATACTACCTATTCCTCCAGTAACATTGTGATGCTTTATCTAATTGCATATGCTTTGTACTGCAAAGGAATACCCAAAGATTATTAGTGAATGAACTGACATTACTGACATTGTAGATTCGATTGTAGCCTGTTTAACTTGGATGATGTTGGCTTCTATGATAATCACATGGCAAGTTTTTGAACTTAGGAATGGCAAGAAGAGAAAGGATAACTAATTCGCTGACTGAATTAGGATGGAAAAAGATCATTGCATAAGGGAACATTAGACTTAGTGGAAGATAAAATTTAGTAAAAACATTAATGATAAGTTAATATCAACTAACACTTATTGAATAAGGCACTTACTGAGTTCTATATGCTTTATATAGATGAAGTCTTCTCATGACAACCTTTTACACATATACCATTATTGTTTCCATTTTAGAAATGAGGAACATAGAGACTACGTATGCTTATGCCATTGAAAGTAATAGTAAAAAATGCAGTTACTTTTGCATCAACCTAATAGTTTACCTGAGTCATTCTACTCATTAGTGGCAGATTGAGAATTTGAACGTATGAGTCTCACTCCGCCAGTACACTGCACATCCTCTAAATATGAAGTCTGAATTTGTGTAAAAAAATATTGTTTGAGTCTAGGGTAGTTGAGATGTGAGAGAGAGCAAGAAGAAGGCAGATGGTATTTTGAGCCAGTGCTGAGTTGACTCTTGGGCACTGATTTTTTGTTGTTGTTGTTTTCTTTCAAAAAATTTTAGAGAGAGATCACTTGCTTCTTCAGACTTGTAATGTGTGGCCTTGATGACAAAAGACCATCTGTACTCAAATATAAGCTTTTATGTCATTAAAACACTTAAAACACAAATGTGAAGACTACCATTATAATCAGTAAGTTACTAATTTGAAAATTATGTAATTCTTTTACTTTGTGCAATTTTCTAAATGAACACTTGAAGGACTAAGACTCTGATATTGGATAATCTTTGTTGTCTTCATTTTGTTAACTTAGCTTTGGTAGATGGTTAATACTGTTTTCCCTTTTTTTTAAAAAAAAAAGTATTTCAGTATGTACTCATCTAGTAAAACACCAACTAAAAGACGGTTGTATCTTGCTTCTATTTAAGCTTGTCTTAGTCCTCAATAGATGCCTTAGACATGAGAAACAGTGGTAAATCCTCTCATCCTTATTGGTAGAAATAACTCAGTTGGATTCTGAGAAGCAGTTGAAAGAGAGATCTCAGGCCGGGCGTGGTGGCTCACGCCTGTAATCCCAGCACTTTGGGAAGCTGAGGCAAGTGGATCAGCTGAAGTCAGGAGTTCGAGACCAGCCTGGCCAACATGAGGAAACCCCATCTCTACTAAAAATACAAAAATTAGCCGGGCGTGATGGCGCATGCTTGTAATCCCAGCTACTTGGGAGGCTGAGGCAGGAGAATCGCTTGAACCCACGAGGTGGAGGTTGCAGTGAGCTGAGATCACACCATTGCACTCTAGCCTGGGCGACAGAGCAAGACTCGGTCTCAAAAAAAAAAAAAAGATCTCAAATAATTTTGTTTTGGTTTAAATGTTGAAACCCTTACCTATAATGAGGGTCAAGGATGGGAACATGCCTGTTTCGAGTGTCAAAGATGAGAACATATATCTTGAATATAAAAATTACCCATATAAGCTACAAATTTATAATTTTGAATATTTAAAAATTTATTAATTTTTATAATATTGTATTATAACCAAGGAAATCACAATGCCAATGATCAAATTATGGTAGCTTAATTTTGTAGGAAAGCTGTCATTTAAATTCACCTTATCTTGTACCTGGGATTTCTTCTGGACTTTGATATTTTCCAAATCTGTTTTAGGCCAGGGGTATACTTCCTTGGCCTATTAGGAACCCCAGCGGGGAGCGGGGATGGGGAGGCGGGGAGCAGTGAGCAAGCATGGCTTCATCTGTATTTACACCCATTCCCTATTGCCTGCCTTACTACCTGTGAGCTCCGCCTCCTGTCAGATGAGTGGCAGCATTAGATTCTCATAGGGGTGTGAACCCTGTTGTGAACTGCACACGAAGGATTTAGGTTGTGTGCTCCTTATGAGAATCCAATGCCTGATTATCTGTCAGTGTCTCCCATCATCCCAACATGGGACCGTCTAGTTGCAGGAAAACAAGCTCAGGGCTCCCACTGATTCTACATTATGGTGCATTGTACAATTATTTTATTGTATATTACAATGTAATAATAATAGAAATAAAGTACACAGTAAATGTAATGTGCTGAATCATCCCGAAACCATCCGCAATCCATGCACCCTCTGTCCTTGGAAAAATTGTCTTCCACAAAACTGGTCCCGCATGCCAAAAAGGCTGGGGACGGTTGTTTTAAGCCATAGGTTCTTTAACTTTTCACTGCAGGTATAGCTACAGACACTCCATCCCCCTGTTTTCATATGTCCTAAGTCAGGTTTGTCCATGGCCCACAGGCCGTATGCCCCCAAGGATGGCTTTGAATGCAGCCCAATAAAAATTTGTAAACTTCCTTAAAATATGAGATTCTTTTGTGTGATTTTTGTTTTTTTTAAGCTCATCAGCTGTTAGTGTGTTTTATGTGTGGCCCAAGACAAATCTTCCAGTGTGGCCCAGGGAAGCCAAAAGATTGGATACCGCTGCCCTAAATATTCTCCACTCTCCAATATGTTTTCCACTTGTTTGGAGGCAGCTTCTCTTACCTTGGGCCAGAACCAGCCAACCTTAAAATCTGGTTATTCAAGTTGTCAGTGGCAGGCCAGCGGCCAGCATTGTGATAACATGACCCACTGTTCTCATATGGCAGTTGACACTTTTTAGCACTAAGCTCACTTTAATAATAAAGTTCTCCCAATTGCTTCCATTTTTTGCCTTTTTCTGGCTCAGAACTTAATCCAGACATCAGCACTCACATTTTAAACAAGACTCAAGTTCTAGAGGATTTTCAAAAATTTCAGATCATGCTTGGAAAATCATTGCCTGGGCTTACCTTTTCTTTATTGTATTTGGTGCTATGTGTACTCTCAGTAATTGTGCAGCTACTTTGAATTGAGAATTGACGTTGTTTTGATGGGAAAGCCTTTTATTTAAAGGAGTCTCCCAATTTATCAGTTTTGAGTGTGGTTTATTGTCTGTCATTAGATTTCCTTACTAGCATATTTTTTATTTCCTTGTGTATTCTGCTGACTGGCCTAACTTAAGGATTGTTTTTTCTTTGTTTGATTTGGTATCTCATTAGTTAGCATCCAGTTCATTTTGTTGCCATTGTTTAAATACATATGCAACAAGTTTATGGCTTTCCTGGCCTGTAGTTTTAAACAATAAGTCAGTTGTCTGAGCTAGAAAGAAAGCGGGTCAGTAAGGTGGCATTGATCATCTATGACTGAAGTGCCTCAGTATCCACAAGACAAAGGCAATCCAACTTATTAGTCATTTGTTAAAATATAGCTGTTGTCATAGAACACTGGGACATAAGTCTAACTGCACACCCACATAACCTAGGTTGTTTTAAAGGTAGGCATTAAAATAAGAAAATAAGCTGGCCCAGCACATCAGGCGTCATGGATACCCATTGTTAACTGCCTTCTTTGAGAGTTGGAGACTATAAAGCAAAGTCCCTATTTTTGAGGGTGACTTTTAAACATTTAAGCATTATTATTATTATTATTATTATTATTATTAAACATTTTAAACTTTTAAGCATTTTTTAAAGAATACTTAATTACAAATCTTGGGCTCGAGCATATTATTGTGCTTTGCTCCATAAAGGCAATAGGAAATAGTGGGATGGGGTTGGTGGGCGGGGTGTACGGATAAGTAAGTAAAGAAATAAGTTACAGAAAGAAGCCAGATAGGAAGTTTTACAGCTGGTGTTTAGAGTGGACAAGATATTCAAAGGGCAATGTTATTTTGCTACTTTCCTTTTGGTGGGGATTTATAAGGTCCTGCGTTTGGCTTACCCAGCGCTGTAATTCACTATAATGCCAAGGATTTCAAAGGAGTCTCCCTGCCTTCCAGAAACTCATAGTCTAAGGATAATTTTTAAGATGATTGCATTAGATTATTTTTTGGGATGGTGGGAACATGGTGTGTATATATGAGAGAGAGAGGTGAGATTTACCCTAAGAACAGTGTCGCTAATGTTTTAATGGTAAGAGAAATTGTTTGAGCTCGTATTTTATAAAAATGCTGAAGTCTGGTTTTATCAGATCAATTGCTGCTATCTCTATACTAGTATTTTCAGTTTAGAAAGATGTTTTAGCAGCTTTTTAAAAATGAAGTTTCTTGAGTATTATTTTGTCAGCCAGTACAATGCCTTCAGCATAGTCTTTACAGATAGGTGCTAAAAATGCCTGCATTGGAGCTGCTAGGTAGATCCCAGGGACTGTTTTTTTTTTTTTTTTAAGATGAAAAGTCACTGTAGAAGATGTTCTGATAGTGCCAAAAGGACAGTATTTTTCGAAGTGTTATTACATGTGGTTTGTCCCTTAAACATTTAACTGAGTGGAGAAGAAAACATAGGGAAAGAGTTATTTTGTGAATTTGTAACTTACCCTTTGGGTAAGTCAAGTATAGTGAGCTTTGACACTCTTAGGAACAAGTACACCTAGGTCTCTAATTGTGGTTTCCAAATGCTGTTCTCCAGGTAAAGGAACCAGAGCCTTTTGGAGAAATGGCTAATTCTGGGGTTGGGACAGGGAAAATATAAACTGAACCTAGAGCCAATCTCATAGTGCCAGAAAGTAAGAAAATACTCAAAAAATGTGAAGGTGTGGGCATGTCAGAAGGATACTAGAAAGAGTTCTCAAGGGCCAAAGTTGGAACAATTGGTGCCACAAAATAAATAATAATAAATTATAACCCTCAGAATAGAATAAATATCCATGAGTCTATACTGATATCAGTGCCTAAATAAATAAATAAATGTGGGGGAGGAGGGACAGATCTTTCTTACAAAAGAATTCTAATTATTAAATGTAGAAGAAATGAGAGAAATAGCAAGTCAGCATTAGAGCACCAATAATTGTTTTGGGCAAGATCCACTGATGAATGGTAAAATTAGTGGTGAAACGTTAAAATGAAACAATATTTGCTATAGCATCAAAATATCTCCCCCCAAAATATTTATTTATTAATTATTAGTTACCGTGGTTTTAACATATGTCCAAAATTCTTTAATATTCCTTACTTGAGTTGAAACTTAATTCTTCTTCCCAGGAGTGTGAGCTAAACTTAGTAACTCATTTCAAAAAAATATAATAATGAAAGAGAAAAATTGTAACTTTGTAGTAGAGAAAGCAGGCAGACCATCAAGCAGTCAAAGTCAACATTACCAGTAACAAGTCTTACTGATATCATGGACCTGGGATGTGATGAGAAGGGCACATCTCTGTGGTATTCCTCCCCAAAATCCATAGTCTCAGTCTAATCTTCAAAAATGTCAGACAGACCCAAACTGAGGGACATTCTAAAAATACCTGACAATAATCTTCAAAGTGTCAAGTTCGTAAAAAAACAAGGAAAGACTGAGAAACTGTCACAGATTTAGAAAAGATTAAGGAGTCATGACAACCGAATGCAGTGTAGTATAGCAGATTGTATCCTGGAACAGAAAAAGGACGTTAGTGGAAAAGCTGGTGAAATTACATTACAGTCTGTAGTTTAAATACTAGTGTGGTACCAGTGTTAACTTCTTAGCTATAATAAGGTACTTTAGTTATGTAAGATGGTAACATTAGGGAAGTTGCATGAAAGGTATATGGAGACTCTGTACTATCTTTGCAACATTTGTATAAATCCAAAATTGTTTCAAAATACAAAGTTTGAAAAAGAAGCCAGGAAGGAAAGGACATTAAAGCCTTGCCCTCTGCTTCATGAATTGGATTGTGAGGAATAGTTTTCCAGAGTCAGTTTCCCTTTTTTTTTTTTTTTTTTTTCTGTTATTTTTTGATTATAAAAGTAATACAGAAAATGTGGGAGCTGGGCATAGTGGCTCACGCCTGTAATCCCAGCACTTTGGGAGGCCAAGGGGGGCAGATCACTTGAGGTAAGGAGTTCGAGACCAGCCTGGCCAACATGGTGAAACTCTGTCTCTACTAAAACTATAAAAATTAGCCCGGCGTGGTGGCAAGTGCCTGTAATTCCGGCTACTCAGGTGGCTAAGGGGAGAATCGCTTGAACTCAGGAGGTGGAATGCACTGCACTCCAGCCTGGGCAGCAGAGTGAAACTCCATCTTGAAAAAAACAAAAACAAACAAACAAACAAAAAACAGAATTATAAAGATGAGTGAAGCTGAGTAAAATAATAGAGAATAGTGGTCAGAGAAGGGGATATGCTCTTTTATCTGAAGTGATCAGTAAAGGCATCTCTGATAAGGTGACATTAAGACATCTGAATGAGGCCAGGCGTGGTGGCTCATGCCTGTAATCCCAGCACTTTGGGAGGCCGAGACGGGTGGATCACGAGGTCAGGAGATCGAGACCATCCTGGCTAACACGGTGAAACCCTATCTCTACTAAAAAAAAATACAAAAAACTAGCCGGGCGAGGTGGCGGGCGCCTGTAGTCCCAGCTACTCGGGAGGCTGAGGCAGGAGAATGGCGTAAACCCGGGAGGCGGAGCTTGCAGTGAGCTGAGATCCGGCCACTGCACTCCAGCCTGGGCGACAGAGCGAGACTCCGTCTCAAAAAAAAAAAAAAAAAAAAACAAAAACAAGACATCTGAATGAAATGTGGGGCCGATACCTAAAGGAATAGCAGTCAAGGCAGAGAGACTGCCACAGTCACCCCAGCCTTTAGTGACCACAACCCTGATCAGTCAGCAGCCAGCAACATCAAGGCAAGACCCTCCGTCAGCAAAAATATCACAACTTCCTGAAGTCTCAGATGAGTTTTAGCATTTTTTAGCAATGAAATATTTTTAAATTAAGGTACAAGCATATGTTTTAAAACATAATGCTATTGCACATTTCATATGCTACAGTGTAGTGTAAACATAACTTTTATATGCACTGAGAAACCAGAAAATGTGTGTGACTTGCTTTATTGCTGTATTCACTTGATTCCAGTGGTCTGGAACCAAATCCACAATATCTCCAAGGTATGATTGCATATCAAATAACTGTTTAGAGTTTTACTATAAAAGGGAAGAAAGGAATGGAGCTATGGCTGGGAGACATTGTTAGCATTATTGTGGACCATAAAAACACTTTGATAGGATGGCTTCATTTTAAGAAGACTGTATGTCTGTGGGAAGCATTCTAGCTCACTGATAACAATTTGGATTTGGAGTCAGATAGCCAGGCTTTAAATTTGACCCAACTGATTTATAGTTGTCTTAAGGAAAAGTACTCAAAATCTCTGGATTTTTGTTTCATCACTCATCACATACCTCGTAAGGATTAGGTCAGATCATGCTTTTGAAGAACATAATATTCAACTATTACTGTAATTTTTGTTACCTCTCTTTGAGTCTTGGAAATAAATGCTACAGTTTGGTCTTTCATCATTCAACCAATGAATGGAAAGTCTGCATACCAACACTGTGGTAGATTTCTGCTTAATCTACTCGTAATTCACATAAACTGCATACTTTCCTTTCCCTTTATTAATCAAGGAGAAAAGGTAATTTAGCTTAAAATTGACAAGGAGTACTTTTATAGGTATGATGGTGGGTAGTGAGGAGAGAGGATTTAGCTTCATCCAGCAGAAGGTGGCAGTTGAACATTCACACAGAAAGATACTCCCATTTCCTACTGGCATGCTTTGGTTTCCCCTAGACTGGCTTGGTGAACATTAAATGCTTAGTCTTGAAACATTTTATCTTGGTTTTGGGTTGAGTTGGTTAATTAAATAGACAAATTACTTATTGTCTTCAGTGAGGCCTTATTTTTATTGGTTGTCTAGAATAGAGTTAATAGATTGTTAGAGCTGCCAAAAAGAAATGTAATAGGTGGTGTCCTGGGGCTACAACTAGGCTTGCTGGGCCTGGATCAAACACTTTACATTTGGCAGGCACTTTAGTATTATGCTTGGTAAATTCTCATGGTTGCCTTGTTTATTTAAGTTCTTGTTTATTTAAGTTCTTGTTTATTTAAGTTTTAAATAATAAAAACTTTGGGTGGGCTGGTCACAGTAATCTCAGCACTTTGGGAGGCCAAGGCAAGTGGATCAACTTGGGGCCAGGAGTTTGAGACCAGCCTGGCCAACATGGTGAAACCCCATCTCTACTAAAAATACAAAAAATTAGCCGGGCATAGTGGCACACACCTGTAATCCCAGCTACTCAGGAGGCTCAGGTAAGATGATTGATTGGGCCTGGCAGGCAGAGGTTGTGGTGAGCCGAGATTATGCCACTGCACTCCAACCTGTGTGACACAGCAAGACTCTGTCTCTAAAAAACTTTGGGTGGATTAATTTCAGCATTACTGTTTGACTAAGCCTATAGAAATGCTTTGAATATTACTTGGATCCTGAAAAACAGTCTTAAAAACAGTTAAAAGCATAGGTATGTTAATATTTCATTTATTTCTAAACTTAATTTTCAGAGGCAGTGATCCCAATCCAGTGAAGTTAAATAAAGTTTGGGCCTTCCTACTACTTGTAAATGAACAGCAAAGACTATGTAATTAAGTTAATTTAGAGTATGCTCAGATTGTATAACCTGTGAAGCATGCTGAGTAACTGAGCTCTATATAGTTTCCTTTCTCCCCACTGTCTCCTCTGGGGCAAATGGTTTCTTGGCCCATGAAGATGTGTAAACCAGGGGAAAGTGTTCCTGGCCTCCTAGAATTCGTTTTTTGGAAAGATTAAGGAAATGATCAGAAATTACTTAATTTTCACTAACAAATGTGGGAGTGGGGGATGGTCAGCTTTTTTATAGTGGTAGATGTTTTGAATCTGAGTTCTTTTCCCTTCAGAGTCTGATAAGGAGGAGAAACCACAACGCTCTGTGATACCCAAGGAAGTGACACCAGCCCTATGCTCACTAATGAGTAGCTATGGCAGTCTTTCAGGGTCAGAGAGTGAGCCAGAAGGTAAGTCATGGTGTATGTTGTTACAGGGTTTTGTTTTGTTGCTTTTTGCCTTTGGTGCGTGCTGCACATTAATAGCATCCAGGATGTGCATTCTTTATTTGGTCTTCAAATTCCTTTTTCATTTGAATCAGAAGTAAAGTTAACTTGGGTTAAAGGAACTCTGGAGTAATAAAGAAATGTGTTACTACTCTGGGAATAAAAAAGCAAAAAATACAATATAATGAAAGAATTGGAAGGAAAAGAGAAAATATCCACTAATGGAATTGAAGAAAATTCTAAAAGAAATGGCAAAAAGAAAATTCATTTTTTTCTCTTTGCTCTCAAGAACCTTTATTATAACGTGTTTATAGCATCTTTGGTAGATGGAGAGAGATCCTTTATGACAAAGAGTGCGATACAATTTTTTTAATGCATATAGGGCATTGTTCTTCCTAGAGCATATTTACATAAATGATCTCACTTGGAATACACAACCTTATACTTGTGGTTGCATTAGCTTGTGCATTTTAAAGGTCAGTAGAAATTGAATCTTTTCACGAGTCTTTCTGAGAAGTCAGTAACATTCAGGATACATGTCTTACCTTTAAAGATGATGTTACAGATGGTAACGTGTGCGGCTTCATTGTGAAATTTAATTGTGATAAACCAGTTTAATTTCCTACAGCATCTCTTTCAGAGCTACCTGAAAGAGCCATGAGTAGGCTCTTGATCTGATGCAGTGTAGCAGTTTTTAATCCAAGGTTTATATCAATAATCCAGCATATGTTTAATGAATAAATCTGTGTCCTACTGTTGTGGATACCTGGCTCTGTGTGGTAATTTTATTTAGACTTTACTGGCTGTGAGAGAATTCATGTGTATGTCTCAGGACAAGATGTGTAATCAAAGTAGGAGCTGTACTGAGGATAAGAATACAGGTCTGTAAGTGTTTATATAGAATGAAGAGAAGATTCAAATGTAATTGGATGGGCGGGGCACGGTGGCTCAACGCCTGTAATCCCAGCACTTTGGGAGGCCGAAGAGGGTGGATCGCCTGAGGTCAGGAGTTCGAGACCAGCCTGGCCAACATGGTGAAACCCCTTCTCTACAAAAAATACAAAAGTTAGCCGGGCATGGCAGTGCATGCCTGTAGTCCCAGTACCCAGGAGTCTGAGGCAGGAGAATTGCTTGAACCCAGGAGGCAGAGGTTGCAGTGAGGCGAGATCATGCCACTGCACTCCAGCCTGGGTGACAGTGAGACTCTGACCCAAAAAAAAAAAAAAAAAGGAAATGTAGTTTGATGGAGATGGCAGCACTTTTAATGTTGACTAGGCTAGAGATAATCAATGTTTATGTATTTGGAAGCTGTTGAATAAGGAGCCATTAGGCTTTAATATAAAAAATGATGTTTATATGTATCTGTAACATGGGAAGTTTTTTCTTTTTTAAGTGGGCCATGGCTTACTATGGTAGCTTCTTAATAGCTACTTGAATTTTGAAATATAAGCTACTTTGGCTTTATCAGAGTATTCCTTAACAGATGGTTGCCTCATTTTAATTTTAAGAAAAACAGTGTTTTTTTGTAGTCTTGTTTCTCATACACTGGTTTGAAGATGGAGTTATTCTTTAAACACATATTACATTTCCTGCTTATCAGTTGTATTCATAACAGGTGATAACAAAGAAAACTATTACCAGAATTACAGAATCCCATAACAACAGGCTGGACTAATGCTTGCTTCTCTGTTTCTTAAGATGGAACAGTATTTTTATACTCATACCTTCATTTTGAGACTGCCATCATTTTAAATTGCAAGAAAGGAAACTGGAAGGGATCTTTGAGATCACCTCTTTATTTTATAGAACCTTAAGCATAGAAAGGATAAGCTTGGTTGGGCGCGGTGGCTCATGCCTGCAATCCCAGCACTTTGGGAGACTGAGGCGGGCGGATCACCTGAGGTTAGGAGTTCAAGACCAGTCTGGTCAACATGATGAAACCCTGTCTCTACTAAAAATACAGAAATTAGCCTGGCGTGGTGTTGCGCGCCTGTAATCCCAGCTACTCGGGAGGCTGAGACGGGAGAATTGCTTGAACCCAGAAGGCAGAGGTTGCAGTGAGCCAAGATCACACCACTGCACTCCAGCCTGGGCAACAGAGTGAAACTCCATCTCAAAATAAATAAATAAATAAATAAAATAAAAAAATAAAATGGAAAAAACTTGGCAAGCTATTATGTAGCAGACCTGACATATAGGTTTGGAGACTTAAAAGTCCAAAGAAACCAACTTACCTTGCCTTCCATTATAGTCTTTCTGTCTTTGGCATTTACTGTCATCCTGCACAGTAATGCGTAGACTTTTATAGATAACAGAGGATATTATCTGTTAAATTATATATGATTTTGTGTGAATTTATTTTGACTAATTGTTAAAATGTCCTGCTTTAAGGAAAAAACCCTTGCTTCACATTCCTAAGTCTTAAGAATTATTTTATGTAGTTTGAATTCAGCTTTATTAAGCCATCCATGTCACCAGCAAATTTCTAGCTTTCAGTATTAATTCTGGGATCTAGGATGGGATATTGACACATAGGGAGTTTTAAATTAATAAACCAAGGAAACAAAGTGGTCTTTTAACTGTGGAATAGTATCTAGAAGACTGCTTATTTACCTGGATTCTAAATGTATAGGAACAATCTGTTTCTTCCTAACAGAGTTTAACAATTGTGTCTTCATAATTAAGATCTGTCTTGACTTAAGAATTAGCATAAAAGTGTTTGGAATCTTAAACATGAATAGCATTTTTCTGGAAAGATATTTAAACAAAGAAAGGGTCCCTCAAGTAAGACTGAAGCAAAGAAAGAGGTAATACATCTGGGACTGTAAGAATCACTAAGATATAAATTTAATAAGAAATATTTCCAAATGGGTTGGTTTAATATCTGTTCTGCATGTTAGCATTTTAGCATTTTTTAAACTGTATTAGAATTTAAGCACAGTTTTACAACTCCCCAGAATTATGTTTCCTTAAACTGATTTGGCTATGATGGGGAGATTTCCAAATTAAAGACTATTTCAGAAGGCCACAAACCAAAAAGTGTGTTAAGCGTTTGATAGAACCGAACGGGCTATATTTAAAATGTAATTGGTCAACATTACATTAATATATGACACTTAGCTGGGAAATGTTGTAAATCTCAAGAAAGAGAAAAATATAAATGTTAGTCCCTGTCCTCATTTCTTAGCAGAAAATTGGCAGTTATAAGCTCTGATTCATTTGACTTTGTGTTCCTGATTTGAGTGATTGATACTTGAGGTGGAAGGAAATAATAGAAAATAGTGTCCTGGTTTTTCTTATTTATCATCTCTGTTTTATAGATGAAGATATTTAGGTAGAGATAAATAGCTTGCCCAAAGGTCACACAGCTAGTAAATGATAGAACTAGGACTTGAACCTAACAGTCTGGCACCAGAGTCTGCTTTTAACACTTGTTGCTATACTTCTTTTCAAATATAATTTCTACATTCAGTCGTATGTAATGTTTGAGTATTATGGGTTTTGCCACTCTTGTCTAGGCAGTTGAACCCTGTCTCCCAGCTTCTAGAATATAATTCTTTATCTCATATCACATTCACTTATAGTAAGTAAGTAGTATAACCATTGGAGAAGGGGGAGAGGTGAAGATTCTGAGCTTAAAATTTGTGAATTTTCAACTGTTGATATGGTTTTTCTCCTTTATTCTGTTAATAATGGTGGAATGTCCATTGATTTTTCAAATGTCAAACCAGCCTGTATTCCCAGGATAAAATCCACTTGGTCATGGTCTATTACCCTTTTAATACATTGATGGATTTGATTTGCTAATACTTTATTAAGGAGTCTTGCATACATGTTCATGAAGGATATTGGTCTTTGGTTTTCTTTTATTATAATAGATTTGGTATGAGTAAGGATCTATTTCCTTCTCTTTTTTAAGGTTTTGTTTAGGATTTCTACCAGTTTTTCTTTTCTTGTTTGTAGAATTCAGTAGTGAAGCCATTTTGTTTTTGGGAATGTTTTAAATTATGAATTAAATTTCCTTAATAGGTACAGAACTATTCATATTTTCCTATTTCTTCTTGAGTGGGTTTCGGTAATTCGTGTTTTTCAAAAGAATTTACTTCACCTAAGTTGTTAATTTATTGGTATATAGTTCATAATATTTCCTGTGATATCTGTAGGATCTATGATGATGTCCTCCTCTTTTATTTCTCCAAGTTGTTAATTGATTCTTTTCTCAAAAAAATCTTGGTGCATTTATTAATTTTATTAATCTTTTCAATGAACCAACTTCTGGCTTTGTTGGTTTTTCTCTGTTGTCATTGATTTTCACTCTAATCCACTGTTTTTCACTTTTTAGTATTTCCTCTTTCCTCAGACCCTACCACATTATAATAGAAGCTTAGATAATTGATTTTAGACTTTTCTCATTTCTGATTTAAGCACTGAAAGTCATAAATGTAACTTCATGAACTGCTTTAGCTGTAGTCCACAAATATGATACATTATGTTTTCATTTTTATTTATTTCAAAATATTTCCTAATCTCTCTTACAATTTGTTCTTTAACTTATGGTTTATTTAGAAGTATGTTACTTAGTTTCTAAATATTTGTTTGTTTTCTAGCTAGTTTTCTGTTAATGATTTTAGTTTAATTCTGTTACGGTCTGAGAACATACCTCTATCCTTTCAGTTACTTCAATTTATTGATACTTATTTTATGGCCCAACACAAGGTGAATGTTCATATGAGCTTGACAAGAAAATGTATTAGGTCGGGTGTTCTTTGTCAATTTGAGTTAATTCTTTGTGGTATTCTGTATCCATACGAATTTTTTGTCCAATTTTTCTTTAATTACTGAGATTGGAGTGTTCAAGTATTGAATCATAATAATGGGTTTGTCTATTTCTCTTCTCAGTTCCATCAGTTTTTGCTGCATGTTATATTGAAAATCTGTTTTTAGGTGTTATTGTTTTGTCTTACTGATGAATTGGCCCCTTTAGCATTATGAACTGTTCCTCTTTATCCCTGGTGATATTCACTATTCTGAAGTCTTTTTTTGTCTGACATTACTACAGCCTTTCCAGCTTTCATGTGATTGGTGTATGCTTGCTATCATCTTTCATCCTTGTAACTTCTTTGTTTTACTTTTTAGGAGTTGGTCTGCAGTTTATAGTGTGCAGCTTAACTTTTCATAGTGTACTTTCAAATGGTATTATCTACTTCACATGTAATTCAAGAATTTTACAGCAGTATGCTACTTAAATATTCCTTCTCCCTTCCTTTTTACTATTGTTGTCATAGATTTTATTTCTATAGATGTTATAAATTCCACATACACTTAATATTTTTGCTTTAGTTTTAAAAATTTTCCAATGAGGAAAAAAAAGTCTTATATTTATTCACATATTTACTTTTCCCAGCACTTATCATTCCTTTGTATAGATCCAAGTTTCCATGTGGCATGATTTCCTTCATAGACATCACTTTCTGTAGCTCTTCATGGTAGTCTCCGCAATTTTTGGTAGTTTAGCTTCCAATTTGAAAAATACTAGAATACATTATAAATGCCTTGCAAAAATCTTTCATAGTTTTAAGTTATTAAGTGGACAATATTATGGCTAGGAGGATTATTATGGATTTTTTGGTTGCTTTTGAAAGGTCTACCTGTTTTGTTTTGTTTATTTTTGTGTTTGTTTTTCATCACACTTAGAAACTCCCATCAAGACTGAAGCAGACGTTCTGGCAGAAAACCAGGTTCTTGATAGCAGTGCTCCTAAGAGTCCAAGTCAAGATGTTAAAGCAACTGTTAGAAATTTTTCAGAAGCCAAGAGTGAGAGCCGAAAGAAAAGTTTTAAAAAGACAAACCCTAAGAGGAAAAAAGATTATCACAACCATCAAACATTATTCGAACCAAGAACACACCATCCATATCTCTTGGAAATGGTAAATTGTTTTTCTTTTGGTTCTAATCTTTGTGTTCTCATGTCATAAAGATAGAGCCACTGGGGTGTGTGTGTGTGTGTGTCTGTCTGTCTGTGTTTGTGTATGTTTTAAGGTTACCAGAGACGCATTGTCCTTGGAGACTTTGTATCTTAATTCTGCAGCTACATTTGGCATATAGCTGGTATGTTCAGTGAATGTGGAATAATGTAATTTTTACAACCACTTAAAATAAAAGAATTTAGGTTTCACTAGTTGGTAAGGAAGTATCTATTGAGGTTTATTGATTTTCTTTTAAGTTTCCAGCGAGGCCGGGCGCGGTGGCTCAAGCCTGTAATCCCAGCACTTTGGGAGGCCGAGACAGGCGGATCACGAGGTCCGGAGATCGAGACCATCCTGGCTAACACGTTGAAACCCCGTCTCTACTAAAAAAAAAAAATACAAAAAACTAGCCGGGCGACGTGGAGGGCGCCTGTAGTCCCAGCTACTCGGGAGGCTGAGGCATGAGAATGGCGTAAACCCGGGAGGCGGAGCTTGCAGTGAGCTGAGATCCGGCCACTGCACCCCAGCCTGGGCGACAGAGAGAGACTCCGTCTCAAAAAACAGTTTCCAGCGAAAGCACAGCTAAAAGTACAATGGCAAGCTGAAGGGAAAAAAGATTTTTAATACAAATGTCTATGGAGAACCAAAAGTAACAAAAAGGAAAGGCCTAGGGTTTTCTGACAGTTCTCACTTGTTATCTTCTGGGATTGTCTTCCTTCCCTCCCTAACCTTTTTTTTTTTTTTTTTTTTTTTAAAGAGTTGGGGTCTTGCTTTGTCACCCAAGCTGGAGTGCAGTGGTGTGATCATAGCTCACTGCCACCTCAAATTCCTGGGCTCAAGTGATCCTACTGCCCCAGCGTCCCAAGTAGCTGGCACTATGGGCATGCACTACCATGCTAATTTTGTTTCTTTGTACACCTTTATTTATTTGTGTTTATTCTGTGCATTCTTGGCTTTACTCTCAGCATTATGTGCTCAAAAATCTAACAGCTTTCTTCAAATTATAAAGAGGAAGCAGTGCATCTTTGAGTTCTCAGTAGTGGACATGAAGCTGTTCAAAGATCAAAGATTTTCATGTCTCAGCAATAGAAGTATTCCACATTTTTTTGTTTGTTTGTTTGAGACGGAGTCTCGCTCTGTCGCCCAGGCTGGAGTGCAGTGGCCGGATCTCAGCTCACTGCAAGCTCCGCCTCCCAGGTTTACGCCATTCTCCTGCCTCAGCCAACCGAGTAGCTGGGACTACAGGCGCCCACCACCTCGCCCGGCTAGTTTTTTGTATTTTTTAGTAGAGACGGGGTTTCACCGTGTTAGCCAGGATGGTCTCGATCTCCTGACCTCGTGATCCGCCCGTCTCGGCCTCCCAAAGTGCTGGGATTACAGGCTTGAGCCACCGCGCCCGGCCGTATTCCACATTTTTTAGTTGACATTCTGTGAAAAGTCTGTTTGGTTTTGACTTACAAGATAAGTACTTATTTTGTAGCTAAAGTGTTCAGTGGCTACACTCTTGAGGTGCTACGTGTAAACACAGTTGCTTCCTATTAAAATGGATCTGAAATATACGCTCCATTTTGTATAGATAGTAAATTACATTTAAAAAGTTACCTTATAATCGGTAAATTAAGTAATCTTTCCACTGAAAGTTTCTGTATGATGTTTCTGAACTCTGTCAATAACATCAGAAAATAAAATCCTTTTTGGCAAATTACATATGATTCCTTGATTATGTGTTTATTCTGAATACCAGGGATTTTTAGCTTTTTAAAAATACAATAAGCACAAAAATGGAAAGTTATAAAAGTCAAGGAATGTTGGAATTTTTTACTGCTACTTTCATTGTTACATGTAAATAGATGTACTTATCAGTTTCTAGACTGTTTATGAATTTGAGTTTGGGCAATCCTCTTTGACATTTTAGATTAAAGAATTGCAGACTTTTTAGCCAGATGTGGTGGCGCATGCCTGTAATCCCAGCTACTTGGGAGGCTGAGGCAGGAGAATCGCTTGAACCCGGGAGGCAGAGGTTGCGGTGAGCCGAGATCGCAGCATTGCACTCCAGCCTGGGTGACAAGAGCAGAATTCTGTCTCAAAAAAAAAAAAAAAAGAATTGCAGACTATTAAATACTTTCATGTCCTATGCTAGATACTCTTAGAGAGGACTCCAAATATAAGCATTAGTACTGTTTAAAAAGCTAGATAGTCTTGATGTAACTTAAAAGGACATGTTCTTGCATTGTTTTTTAGCAAAATAGTAAATATAATATATATTTCTTATTGTTCTGTCTTCTTTGTGAGGAGAGGGTACATGCAGTATTTTAGATTGTATTTCCCAGATATAATTTATTTACCAGCTAATCTTTTTTAAAATTGTCTTTTAGCTTCTAGCTCCGGACATTCGACATGAAAGAAATGTGATTTTGCAGTGTGTTCGGTACATCATCAAAAAAGACTTTTTTGGACTGGATACTAATTCTACAAAAAGTAAAGATGTATAGGCGTCTGATGTTTCAGCATGCATAACTGAAGCATGTGAAACAGTATCATCCTCGTTAGTAGAGGAAAACCAAAACCCTTTTTTCCCTCAAAACTGGATTTGTAATTAAATTGTAAGCCTCATAGGGTGTATGTTGGAATTTTAAGTCTTTCCTTTGGTTCTATGCAAATAAATACATAACTGATTTTTAAGACTGTGTCCATATTGTTGGGATTGAATCTAGTATTTGCTGGGAGAATTTTTTCTTTGTATTTATTTTAATGTATTGTTCTCATGTAAGAATGACTGATGTGTCAGTTAAGAATTGAAGATAGGTTTAGCAGTAAAGAAGAAAACTTTTAAAAGGATTGATTCAGCTAAGCAAAGTTGGGCAGAGAAATACAGCCATTTTGTTTTTAATGCAGAAAAGGAAGATGTTCTGTAGCAACGGGGAATATTTTAAAAATAAACCAGATCAAATTAATACAGTCAGAAGGTTTCGAAATGTCAGTATTCCCTGTTTAAGACATGTTTAAATTCACCTACTAGCACGACTTACATAGCTCAAATATTGAATGTTTAAAATTTTTTTTTTTTTTGAGACGGAGTCTCGCTCTGTCGCCCAGGCTGGAGTGCAGTGGCCGGATCTCAGCTCACTGCAAGCTCCGCCTCCCGGGTTTACGCCATTCTCATGCCTCAGCCTCCCGAGTAGCTGGGACTATAGGCGCCCGCCACCTCGCCCGGCTAGTTTTTTGTATTTTTTAGTAGAGACCGGGTTTCACCGTGTTAGCCAGGATGGTCTCGATCTCCTGACCTCGTGATCCGCCCGTCTCGGCCTCCCAAAGTGCTGGGATTACAGGCTTGAGCCACCGCGCCCGGCCTGTTTAAAATATTAATACAGATGGGGCCTCTGTTTATGTTTAGATACAATTGGAGTACTTAATTGAAACTTTTTAAAAATTGTAAAGTAAATGAAAGCTACTGAGATCTTTTTGTCTCCTATAATACCAGGGAATTTGAGCTTGTGTTCTAGTCATTTTACTAGCTGTAGCTATTGGTCTGCCCTTTTGACATACAGCTAAAAAGGACTAAATTTTTTTTTTAATTAGTCTGTCATAGTTGAAGATTAATTTTTCCTAATGTTGTGATTATTGAAGTTCATGAATCTTGCTGTCAAGGAAGAAAGGTAAGAAATCTGATAGCTCCTCCATGTTGGTAAAATCCTCTCCAGAATCCTGGAACACCTGGCATGTGACCCTAGTGACGTCACAGACCTGGGGTGAAGATTCATGTTTAGCCAGTGTTTTCCAGCCTTGTACCCACCATACAGATCTGTTTATTCTGTTTCACCCTACTCCTCCAGTGAGCCCCATATTTTGGGAAATTATCTGCCTCATACGTTAATTAATTCAATTCATATAACACTGTTGAGGGCTTACTCCAGGTACCTCTATTGTGCCTATATTAAAGGTATACAAATAAATGAGGCCATGTCTGACTTCAAGGAACTCAGTTTAATTTTGATATATTCAAAGATGTGATTCCCAACCATCTCATCAGGATGAAGTAACTAGTGTTACAACTGAGTTGATACTCTAAAATATAACACAGTTTGCACTTTTATTACTAGTTAGCATATACATTTTACAGGCTTATGGTTAATAAATGAATTCACGGACTCCTGGACTACTTTCACTGATGACCGTATCTCCAGGGATGTTGTTGATCCCCACACTGCCTTAAGGTGTATTATGTAAACAGTTTTCTTTTCCGTTTTTCTTGTTTCCTGATAATACATGTATTTAGGACTGAAAATACTCCTCTGAGTACTCCGTTGGCTCTATGCCTTTAGCTATGGTAACTATTGTTTATTTTTAATGGGTATTTCAGATTCAAAGTGTATTTAAAATTTCTAAGCAGATACAATATAACCTGTATGGTTTCTACCTTATGGAATTATATGGTCAATATTTGTAAATATTCTGTGAGTTTTGGGTGGGTAGAGGGGTGCTTTGCCTGTTTTGGGTACAGGTTTTTTTGGATTTAGCTTGTTAATTGTTCAAACTTTCTGCCTTCTACATTCTTATCTTATTGTTCATTTAATCAGTTTCTGAAATGTAAGCATTACATGACTATTGGTGAGTTGTGCCTTTTATAACTGAAATACTTTACTTTTTCTCATATCCTCTATAATTGACTTCTATTTTCCTTAATTAGTCAAACCAGCTCTGGGAAATTTAATCCATTTATATTAATTGAGATTATTAAAACATTTGGACTATTCCTGGCTGTCTTATTTTGTATTTTCTGTATATCATGCTTTCTTGTTTTTATTTTGTCATCTTATTGGCTTGATTGTTATTTTTTTTTCTCCTTGTTTTTCCTCCAGTGGTTTGGAAGTAATTAAACCTATTGCTATTTCTTTAGTGATTACCTTTTTTTCTTTATGTTTAGAGTTAATTAGTAGCCATATCTTCCACCCATCTTCCAATTAAGTCAGTAACCTTAGCATTGTTTCACTTCCCCACCTCAGCCTTTTCTTGTGATGTAATCAGATTCAATTTTAGTTTTAGATTAATCTCTAGGATCTTGGCCTGTATGTGTAAATAGTTATTAGGCCACTATGAGTTTTACTGTTTTCTTCTGATTGCTTTCTCTTGCATCCCAGGATTAGTTTTCTGGTGTGCTGCTGCGTATCTTCAAGTAATTAAATGTTGAATCTTCAATTTAAAATTTTTTAAATTGAGTTACGGTTTTAGACTCAAAATCATTTTCCTTCGGAATTTTGAAGCTATAACAATCGTATGCTATTATCCAGTATTGCTGATTAAAGTCAAACACCAATCTGATTACCTCTCTTTATTTATTGATAAATAACCTATTTTTTCCTCATGAAAAACTTTTAGGGTTTTCTTTTTATGCTTGGAGTCCTAAAATTTCACCAATTTGTGTCTAGATCTCTGGGACATTTGTCATTCATGCTGCTTACCCCACGGTCCTTTCATCTGAGTCATTGTACCATTCTTGTACTAAAGGCAATTTTAAATATGATTTTTAAAAATAGTTTTCTTAGGTGGATATCAGACCTATTAACTTACCCTCTTCACTATACTTCTGTATTTTGTCTTCATCTATTTATTCTGAAAGATTTCTTCAAATACCACCTTCCAGACCACTAATTCACCCTTTGAACACATCCATTACCTTATTATTCAGCTCTTCTATTTCATTTTAAATTTAGTAATTCTTTATTTTTTAGAGACAGGGTCTCACTCTGTTGCCCAGACTAGAGTGCAGTGGTATGGCCATAGCTCACTGTAATCTCAAATTCTGGTGCTCAAGTGATCCTCCCACTCAGCCTCCTGATTAGCTGGGACCACAGGCACGCACACCACTATTAGCCTGGCTACTTTTTTAATTTTAATTTTTTGTAGAGATGGAGTCTCTTTGTTGCCAAGGCTGGTCTCAAATTCCTGGCCCCAAGTGATCCTTCTGCCTTGGCCTTCCAAAGTGCTGGGATTACAGGTGTGAGCCACCTCGCCTGGCTAGTAATTTGTATTTAAATATTAAAGATTGCTGTCTCTAATTCTTTTCTTTTCTTTTCTTTTCTTTTTTTTTTTGAGACAGTTTCACTCTTGTTGCCCAGGCTGGAGTGCAATGGCTTGACCTCAGCCCACCGCAACCTCTACGTCCTGGGTTCAAGTGATTCTCCTACCTCAGCCTCCTGAGTAGCTGGGATTACAGGCATGCACCACCATGCCTGACTAATTTTGTATTTTTAGTAGAGACAGGGTTTCTCCATGTTGGTTAGGCTGGTGTCGAACTCCCGACCTCAGGTGATCCGCTTGCCTCGGTACTGGGATTACAGGCGTGAACCACCATGCCCAGCCTCCCCCCCCCCCGCTTTTTTTTTTTGAGACAGAGTCTTGCCCTGTCATGTAGGCTGCAGTGCAGTGGCACTATCTCGGCTCACTGCAACCTCCACCTCTCGGGTTCAAGTGATTCTTCTGCCTCAGCCTCCAGAGTAGCTGGAATTAACAGGTGTGCACTACCACGCCCGGCTAATTTTTGTATTTTTAGTAGAGATGGGCTTTCACCATATTGGCCAGGCTGGTCTCAAACTCCCGACCTCAGGTAATCCGCCTGCCTCAGCTCCCAAATTGCTGGGATTACAGACATGAGCCACCACGTCCAGCCTCTAATTCTTGTTTCATACATGTAATACCCTTTCATCTCAGAAGAAATCAGAATTTTCACATTTTCTGTTCCTTGTTTTCCCCTTGGATTATCAGTGGCTCTGTGTGCTATCTGTTGTCCTTAAGTGTTCCCTCTTAGCTAGGAAAGAGGGATTCCCTCTTGGTAGTTGGTGTATGTTTTCCCTGCATTTGTATAAGTTGTCTTTCTGCATTTACCTTGATTGAGAAGGGAGCTTGTTAACTGGCCAAAGATTTAAAGCAGTGGTCCCCAACCTCTTTGGCAGCAGGGACCAGTTTCATAGAAGACAATTTTTCCATGGACAGGGCAGGGGGATGGTTTTGGGATGAAACTGTTCAACTTCAGATCATCAGGCATTAGATTATCATAAGGAGTGCACCTAGATTCCTCGCATGCACAGTTCATAATAGGGTTTGCATTCCTATGAGACTCTAATGCTGCACTTAGATTCATGTACAGTCTAATGGCAAAACCCTGTCTTTACTAAAAATATAAAAGTTAGCTGGGCATCGTAGTGCATTTCTGTAATCCCAGCTATGCGGGAGGCTGAGGTATGATAACCACTTGAACCCAGGAGGCAGAGGTTTCAGTGAGCTAACATTGCACCACTGCACTCTAGCCTGGGTGACAGAGTGAGTCTCTGTCTCAAAAAAAAAAAAAATTAACAACAATAAAAACGTTTGAGAAACAGTATACTAGAGCATTGTCAAACAAATCCACCTAGTGGGTAATTACAATATTGTGACTATGATTTACTGTTGATTCGGGCCCAGACTCTAGAGCTAGATGTTAACTTGTACAACATTGGTAAGCTGCAAACGATGATCTGGTAGAATGGTATGTTACTTTTCTGTGATAGAAAAGAGGTTACAGTTTTTTAGCCTTGTAGAACATTAACCACATTAGCATTTAACTATGAGATCTTATTCCAGCATTCTTGTGTGACATTCTCTTTTGTCATCTTGTGGGGTCCTTTGGTAATAAGGTCCTTTGGTTA